GCACCGTGCAATTGGAGGTTTGATGGGGCTCCTCTCCCCAATACCCCTTACAGACATTGTTTTCACCTCAGTAAGCACATCAAAATAGAGCTAGAACTCTGGAGCACTGAGTGGACTTAGGCTGTGAACAGTGCTTTCTGTGAGTTTTTTCTCTTATTGGTGGCATTACTGTTCATGTCTGTAAATTATTTCTTGTACTGATGACTGCAACATTTTGTCCTCTATAAAAATATCATCTTCAATTTTCCCTAGTGCAGTGCATCCATACTGTAAAAATAAACCAAATTATGTGACTTGAATATTATAATAAGGTTTAGAATATATGTAGTTTGATGCAATTAGAAAGTATCAATTGTTTGTTTTCCCACCAAGCTTTAATTCTTTGAAACCACACCCCTTTCCTCATCCAACAGACTTGCAGGACTTGTTGGAAATTAAGGTTTTAGGTGTAGAGAAAATTAATTGTGCAAAACATATTTGATTCTACCTAATGTATATATGTGGGCACAACAGTCTTGGTTGCATCCAAGCCTCATGTCATGCATTAAGGTCACCAAACATCCTCCATGCATAATCATGCAGGATAGAGTTTAGATTGATTGCTGTTGGATGAGAAACCCCCTGGATATATCTTCAATGTATATCACTTATTGTCAGTACATGTATGCCAATCACACATATATTCGTGATACAAGAAATGGTAAGTCTTTACAGTACAGATGCACTCACCAGACACAAAGTAGCCAAATCCATGTCACAAAATTTACTCAACAGTCTAAGTTCCAGTGACCTGGACTTGCTCTTTGGGTGCTGTCTGAGGGAAGGGTTGATGGAAGGCTCTGCCCACCTGCATCCCCTGGCAAATATTGTCTTCACCTCAGAATGCACAGCAAGATAGAGCTGAAACACAGGAGCTCTGAGTAGACTTAGACTGGGAGCGGTGTTTTGACAATCTTTTTCCTTAATTTGTGCCATTACCATTCTTGTCTGCATAGTATTGCTTGTATTAACAACTGCAATTTTTTGTCTTCTACAAGAATATTATTTTCAATTTGGCCTAGCATAGTGCCCATATTGTAAAGATTAACCCAAGAACTGCCTTTGAACTGCCTCAGTCAAATTTCACTGCACCCTGAACGATAAGAACATGAAACTGTCCTCACTTATGGTAAGCGTCAGAATTTAACAGTAGTTTCATTGGCGATAAACTACTGATCAATTGAATATTTTATTATTATTATTATTATTATTATTATTATTATTATTATTATTATTATTATTATTATTATTATTGCTTAACAGTGAAGGATGAAAGTTGAAAGAACTATTGGAATACCTTCTGTCAAATAACTTTTTTATTTTCTAATTTGGATGTGAGATGTAATAGATGAAAAATGTCTTAGATTTTAATAATTAGTTAATTCTATGGACTGTGTTTCATGAATGTCACTAAAACTCTTCCAAAAAAACATGCATTTCATAAGTGATTGTAAGTTAAGTATTATTTAGATTAGAATATATGTTGTGATAAGGTTTAACAGATACCCACATGTCTGGCCTTGCACCAGTTAGTGCATTCTACACCAAAAAATGGAAACAAACCATTATAGCTCAGAGATGTTGTTTGCAATCAGTCATCAGATAAAGGAATCAGTTGAAAATTATGTTGTAGCACAATATATAAAGGTCTGGTTTGTTGGACGATACCAGAGCACAAAGTGCAGAGGCTACAACAAAAGCTTGTTGCTATGCCTCTCTCATGATGGACTTGAAATGATAAGTCATCTGTCCTAGCAAATTTCAAGTAGATTTGAATTTTGAATTGAGGACAGTCTTTATAAGTTTGAGAAAAGTCTCTTTTGAAAACCACTAAGGAAGCACGAAGTGCTAAGCCTGCAGTAAATGTTTTTGACTGTCTCTATTTGGACATGTTTGTTATCTGTCATAACTTGTTTCAAGTGGATTTGGATAGAATAATAAGTTTAAGAAAAAGTCCATTTTGAATGTTACTAAATATAAGCTTTTGATTAGCCTCATGTAAAATAGAAGTTGTTATCATCAAAAGTTTCCAAATCTTTGTTCTTTAAATGATTCTTGTGATTAGTTATTTAGCTAAAGAATATTTTGTTCACCATGCATATGGCCAATATACACATTTGATTGAAATATGGACTAGTTTTGCATGTAGAAAATGTATTATGTACTTGTTGAAAATGTCTCGATTCTGCATTTTGAATATTGATTATAGTTATTGATTATGTAGATATGAAAAGGTATTTTTTATGTATAGTTGACCTACTAATGTTTAAGCCCCACCCTTTTAGTTGAAAATCATATTTTTTGCTAAATTCCTACTGGAGCTGATATTGTTGAGGGGGCTGTAGAACATGATATTTTAATATAAAAACTCTCTCAGGACTTCATTAATATTAATTACTGATAGGATCACTATTAACAGCCCTAGAGGTCCCCCCCCCCTCTCTCTCTCTCTCTCTCTCTC